TTCTACCTACGTGGCTTATCACCATTTGGAAATGTATAGCGTTCTGACCTACCCCTACTGGGCATCTGTTAAAAAGTGCTTTCTAGCTCATATGATTCTTTCAGTGGTAATACAGAAACTGAATCTGATAAACGCACGTTAATTCTAAATGTGGAGGGAAAAACCGGAGGACCCTGAGAAAAATCCACGCGACCACGGGGAGAGAGAGAGAGAGAGACACGCATACTGCAAATATACATCAGGCATCAGGGTCGGGATCGAATCCACGACATCCTGTATACCAGGCGAGGTAGTTAACATCTCCCAGCCACCGTGATGATGATGAGAGACGCAAACTCCAAATACACAGCAGCAGTAGGCGTCAGGGTCGGGATCGAACCCACGACCTCCTGCACACCAGGCGAGGTAGTTAACATCTCCAGCCACAGCGGCGCTCGATCTGAAGAGAGACCTAACGCATTCCGCGCAGCGGTGACGTCGGTGCATCGGTCATCGGCACGAGGTGCCTAACTGACCGGGCGTCTGTGCGGCGCCGTCATCCCGTCAAGAGGGGATGCTCGGCACAGCCGCGCACTCACGACGGCACCGCCGCTCCCCCCCCCTCCTTCCTTCCCGGTCAGATGGTGCCGGTGCTGGTGAGCGCGACGCCGCCGTGGGTCGTGGGCGGCGTGAAGCGCTGCACCGTGTCCACGTCGCTGGAGCACAACCCGCTGCTGCCGGGCGTTGACGCAGAGGGCAGCCTCGCAGCCGCCGAGCGGTGGCCACACGGCGTGGCCCACTCCCTGCACCACGAGCTGCACCGTCGGCGCTGGTTTGACGATTCCCCTCCCGCACCCCCCCACAGAGGCGTAGTTAGGGGGGGGGGCAGGGGGGTACATGTGTCCCCGGGCGCCAAGGTAAAGGGGCACCAAAATGAGGTTTACAACGTTACTTTATAATCTTTTTGGTTCTTTTGGTAAAGTCACGTAGAATGGAAGTAATAAAATAATAAAAATAAAACATGATAAAATTCTAATTGATAATTATTTAATGTTTTATTTTTATTACTTTATATTTCCATTCCACGTGACTTTACCGAAAGAACCAAGAAGATGAATCCCTGCAGTCACGAAAGCTTTAAATCGAAAGTTACATTAGAACTTATTGCGGCGGGCGCGGCAGCCTGAAACTACTGCACAAATCTACACCTCAACCTAAAAGTTTATATATCCCGCCACACACAGCCTACATGTCACGTAATTACATTTTAGTATGTGATTCAACGGAGGGGGGGGGGGGGCGCCAATTTTATAGTTCGTCCCGGGCGCAAAATATCCTAGCTAGGCCACTGCCCCCCCACACGCCCGCATCCGTCGCCACGCCCGTAGCGCCCGCCCGGTTTAAAGGGGGGGCCGCGCCGGATGCGGTCAGCGTTAGACGGAGTTCTAGATTTGAAGCTTTCGTGACTGCAAGGATTCATGCTCTTAGTTCTTTCGGTAAAGGCACGTAGGTAAAAAATGAAATTAAAATTAATAAAAATTTAAATAAAAATCACGACGTTTCGGAGGCACACAAGTCTCCGTCATCCAGGTGTGGACCGTCACAGCCAGTGAGGCAGGGAAATCAAGATGCAAGCTCTTAAATCAAGTAAGGGGGAGGAGCTTATCAGAATGTGGTAGCCAATGAATGGAACGTATCGGCTACCACATTCTGATAAGCCTCCCCCCCCTCTCTCCCTCTCAACTTGTATTAAGGGCTTGCATCTTGAATCCCTGCCTCACTTGATGCAGCAAATCTAGCTGTGACGGTCCCACCCGATGACGGAGACTTGTGTGCCTCCGAAACGTCGTGATTTTATTATTTATTCTTATTAATTTTAATTTCATTTTTTACCTACGTGACTTTACCGAAAGAACTAAGAGTACAGCGTTAGGACGGAGTTGAAAGCAAAGTCGATCAGGATATATGCAGGGCAATTCGACCAGACGGGAAAAATGTGAACGCTTCTGAGAATTTGCAACGGTACCACGGGGAATGTGGCATCCGGGTTCTGCAGACCTCCTTGGAGAAGTTCTCAGTCGTGTGTTTGCACTCTCTTTTCAGCGTGACGGCTTGCCGCACCTCGTGTTCATGCGTCGTGCGCGGGCCGCTGCGCGTGCGTGCCCGTGTGCGCGTGCGCGGGACGGTGCACGTGCGTGCCGGCGTGCGTGGTGGCGTGCGCGTGCGTGGGACCGTGCCGGTGCGCGTTGCTGCACGCGCACGTGAGCGCTGAACCAGCGACAGCTGCGTCCACTCTGGCGCGGGAGCGCTGCTACGCGGGACGCGCGTGCTCGCGAGAAGGGAGCCCGACGGTATTACTACCGGGGCACCGTCTGTCAGGAGCTGGAGGTAAGGAAGGAAAGATTCCTCCCCTCCCCCACCGCGTAGCATCGACAGCCTGTTGGGGCGCGTGATGTTAGTAGGCGCTGCATCGGGAGGAGGAGAAGGACGAGGAGGGCATGCGACGTTCTACCGACGTGGCGACCTGACCCAAAAAGCCAATCCTGAACCAACTCATTAGGATTTACGCGGGCAGGTGACAGCTTTATCAACTCGGAATCTCTGACCCCTAAGCAACTCGGCTGCCCGTCTAAACTAGGGGTGGCCAAACTGTACAGACCAAGAGCCAAACAAGTAACCCACGAGTTCTTCAAAGTGTGTATATGTTATATAGACAGTTTTACGGCACAGCACGGGAGACATTATTCTTTGCCAACGGCTGTGATAGTCGCACGTTCGATATCACGCCCCTTCGATAGAGCCAACTGGCTTCAACTATCGCGTTGCAGCGACGTCCCAATTGCTTTGGGTCCCTCCCGTCACCGCCCGCAGGGCCCGCTGGCAGATTCCTCGTGGAGTTCGCCTGCCGACGGGGTCGCGGGGTCGCGGCGCACGGCCACCGCCGCCAGCCCACGGGCGCGCATGCAGGAGACGCTCCTGATCGACGTGATCCAGCACACGGACGCGCTGGCGCCACCACCGTCCTGCCGGGCGACTGCGTGCTGGCTCCGTGGAAGCCGCTCGCCGACCGATACGGGCCGGGCACCGTGCTGCAGGGCGGGGAGCCGCGGCCGGCAGCTTTGCGCTCGGGACAAGGGGCAGGGGGGTCAGGAGGTCACCCAGACGACGCGGCGACGTTGACGTCTTCGCCATTGACGCGTTCGGGTCGCCCTGAGTCTACGGGGGGGGGGGGGGGGGTGGTGGGACGTACAAGCGAGCGAGCTGGATTACGGCCCTTGGCTTTGTGAGGCCCGCCACTTTTGAAACGGCCCGCAAGCAACATTGGGACCTTAAACCCTTTCCCCGTCCCCGGCGTTCCTTCCGACTCCGTTTGTGTCGTGACCTTTGCAGCCGCGACCGGTGACCGGCGATCCCCCAGCGTTACGACATCTGTACCCGTCGCAGGACGTCCATTTTGCAATCGAGCGCTGACAGTTCATTTGGGGGGTGGGGGGGGGTTCCCTCCCCACCCGACATCAATCACAATCCAACTCTCTCCGCGCAGGGCAACGCCGGAGACGAATGCCACGGCGACGCCGCCGACGGCGCCGCGCCCATTCGTGGTGAACCTTCTGGAACGGGCGCACGGAGCGCGTGGCGCCCAGGCGTCGCCGTGTGGGTGCCGCGCCGCCTCTACGAGCGCGTCGTGCTCGAGCCTGCAGATGCCGCTGAGCGCCCGCCGGCGCCTCCGTGCGGCGTCACCAGCCGGGGAGCGGGCCACGGGCTCGCTCTGCCGCCGGCGTCGGCGTCGGCGTCGTTCGCTCACCACTCCACGGTGACTCCCGCGCTAGCCGTCCCACCGCGGCGCTCTTTACCGCGCCGAAGCGTTTGCCGCGATTGAACCGCGGCAGCTCGCCGGTCACGTCGACCACGACTCTTCGTTGACCTCGTGAGCCGTCACGTGAACTCTGGGTCGTCCTCGCAGCGGCGACGGCTTTTGGCGCCACGTCGAGCAAAGACGGTGGTCGCCGCGTCGAGCGCGTTCCCGGCGCGCTTCTGCGGCCGTCTGGGACCTTCTTGCAATATTAGAAAGCCACTGGAGCTGTGCACTTTTAAATGATCTCGATTGAAAACTCATTTCTTTAGAACTGCTTTTTGTGTTTAGTTTGTTGTCCTTCCCCCGCGCCTCCAATTAGCACGGTTCGCTACGTATGGTGTGAAAGAAGTTCAAGTTCAACATACATCATCATCATCGCTCACCATTGTCATCGTTATTGTTATCAATATTATTCACCATCAATATTGTCGTAATCATTGTTATGATCGTGATTCTTAGCATCGCCATTATCATCATCATCATACTCTTTGGTTCTTTCGGTAAAGTAACGTAGGTATAAAATAAAATAAATCACGACGTTTTGGGCACAACACAAAGCATGCTCTCCCACCTGATGACGGATGCTTGTGTTGCGCCTAAAACGTCGTGATTTTAATTTTTTTATTTTCTACCTACGTGACTTTACCGAAAGAACCAAAGAGTATGGATTTTTGCAGTCACGAAAGCTTCAAATGAAGATCATCATCATCATTACCATCGTTAATTTTGCCTCGCCATAATCAGTCACCGTTTCATCCTCGGCGGGGTGCAGTAAAACTTCGCCGTACACGAGGATTTTTGTCCACTCGTTCATTGAACATCAAAATCAACGCCTCTACGCCATCCACCTCCGCTAACTCCCACGCTTCCCCGGCTGCATCGCGCAGGATTTTCCACCGGCTCCGTGTCCCCGTGCTGCGTGGACACGGGCCGGATCTACCCCACGTCCTGGATGCCCGCGCTGCCCTGCGGCTGCCCCGAGGGAGCGCTGTGCGACGGGCATCGCCACCCGCTCTGCTGCACGTGCCACTCCCGGGACCTCCTCCACGACGGCACGGGGTGGCTGCCGCCGACGCCGCCGGCATCACCGCCGCCTCGGCGCTCGGCGGCAAGGAGGTCAAGTCGGGGCGACGCAGGGTCGTCGTCATCGTCGTCATCGTCGTCGTCGTCGAGTTCGTCTTCATCGTCGGACGACGACGTGGATGTGGAGCGTGGGGGGTTCGGGGCCGGCCGCTCGAGGAGGGCGCGCCGGTCGAAGGCGCGCAGGGCCGGCGACGCCGACCGCGGCACGCGGGAGCGGCGCGCGGAGAGACCGAGCCAGGCTTCGCTGAGGGAGAGGCCCGAGTGGAAGTACTGGGCCGGCACGGCGACCTCGCCGCACCACCGCAAGCCGGGTGAGCCGCGGAGTCCTCGTGTAGCCCCTTTCTCTCCCGGCGTGAGACACGTTTTTTATTTCCCCCCTTTAATTTCCTCCCACCATCGCTGTTTGCCGAGCGGAGCCGAGCCGTGCCCAAGCGGTGATTCGCCGGGCTCACGAGACGTCTTGACTTTGGCTCGGGGACAAGCAGGGGAGTGAACGAATGCGCGAGGCCAATCGGCACGACTCGGAACGCAGGCGTCGCTGCGTCGTTTAACGACGTCCGTGGCACGGCTCGGCTCCTGCAGTGGAAAAACACCGCCAAAAGCACTCGGTTTCAAACGGAATCGGCCAAACAGCTTTCTTTCTTCGGTGGCGAGATGTTAACTATCTCGCCCGGTATACAGGAGGTCGTGGGTTCGATCGCGACCCTAACACCTGTATATTTGGAGTTTAGATGTTCTCCCCGTGGTTGCGCGGATTTTTCCCCAGTTCCCTCCATATTTAGAATCAACGTGCGTTTAGAGTATTGGGCTGCGGCTATACATTTTCACGCGGAGAGCCACTCCGTTGGGCTATCATTTGCGGCCAGGTCGCTTCTCAAAAACCTTGGATTGCGAGCATAATTCGTTCCGGAAACGTGTTTGTAATCCAAAGCACTCGTATATCAAAGCACTCGTATATCAGTTGTGATCACGTGACGCTCGGCAGACAAAGCGTATGCGCGTACTACTCGTATTGCAAGACCTTGCTCGTTTATCAAACAAATATTTATTTTAAAAAATTGCTCGTCTTGCAAAACACTCGCAGACCAAGTTACTCGCAATCCAAGGTTTTACTGTAGTTCGTTTCGAGTCACGTTTAAGACTCTCACATGGACAGAGATAGAATCTGATAATTGGTTTTTTACCCTTTTATCTGGCAACAAAACTGACACCTTTTTTTACAAGGAGTCATGTTTGCATAGACCGCAATACCTGCAGTCATAATACAAACAAAAGACATAACTCTGATAATGTGCACTGTCCTTGAAGTTGATTGGTCCACACCCGAGACAGCTTTCCTTAGAGCCTAGTCTCACATGGGTTGGACCAGATGACGCCAAAAGGCGCACAACTCAAAGACAATGCACCATCAGAGTATGAGAGCTCGGGGTTCCCATAGTATAGTAGTAGAGATAGAATCATTTACACTGTGCCAAGGTAATTGGTCCAACCGTGACCGACATAGCTGGTGCAAGTGCCGTTCGTGATTAGCACCTGCGATTCGTTGGATATAACACAACGACACGAAAGTGCTTGTGGTTGACAATACGCCTTTCGCGTTTGCTTTTGCAACTTTCAATAAAAAATAGAACTCTCTCCCTCGATGCTAATTCAGCCGTCCGTCCGTCCGTTCACCACGTGCCCTTTTAAAATGCTCAATTGTGCAGCGAGAGGCATCATTTTGTTTCGGGGGGGGGGGGGCCGATTCGTCGTTTTAAGAAAGCTAAACTTAGACGGGTCTAATTGCTCGCCAGCTGCGCTGGGTAAATGCGGCCTGCCGTTACTTTGGAACATGACATTTGTCTGCGTCACGGTTGTTCTCGCGTGTTTAGGTGGCAATGTCACCCTGTACCTGTCCCCCCGGTTGTTCGCGAGGAACACGTTCTGGTGATGCTCGTGACTGTCACAACTCACGGAATAATGATATTGGCCCACTAAAAAAACATTTTTTAAAAGATTAATTTCCTTAAATAAATACGTAAATAGGCTCATAAATACGTGACGTTATCATAATATAACGAACATAGTATCTGTGCTTGCTCCCTGTGCGCGGTGCCCTGTTGTGAATCCGTTGGCGGTTGTGGGCGATGCGCGACATCTCAAGTATCAGACGACGATGATGATGCAGAGTGTTCACACTATGAGACCTCCTTTACCAGTGGCAAAATATAGTAATAGGCTTTTACCCTTTCAACTGGTACAAAAACTGACACCTTTATACAAGGCATCATGTTTGCAATAACCACAACACAAGCAGTCAAAATGCAAACAAAAGAACCAGTTGAAAGGGTTAAAACCTATTACTATATTTTGCCACTGGTAAAGGAGATGTCTCATAGTGTAAATGATAACCCCGAGCTCTCAATACTCTGATAGTGCGCTGTCTTTGAGTTGTACGCCTTTTGGCGTCATCTGTTCCAACACCAATGGAGACTAGGCTCTAAGAAAAGCTGTCTCGGGTGTGGACCAATCAACTTCAAGGACAGTGCATATCATTATCATCATCAGAGTTGTTTCTTTTTGTTTGCATTTTGACTGCTTGTGTTGTGGTTATTGCAAACATGATGCCTTGTATAAAGGTGTCAGTTTTTTGTACCAGTTGAAAGGGTAAAAACCTATTACTAAATGCAGAGTGTGAGTGTCATGCTGCCAGCTATGGCTGCAAGTTTGGTCATACGTGTTATGTATATCGTTTATTGTTCAATTAAAATCACAGTTCCTGTGATTACTATTGTTACATTGTTTTTATAGCTTTATTTTAGTGATTTGAAAACATATGGTTAATCTAAATTGTCTTATGGTTGTTGTTGTTGGCTTGCACCACATTGTGATTTTTTCACACAGCGTTTTAATACTTTTTTTGGGGTGGTTTATTCCAGGATGTTTCTGTTACGCGTCATCGCTTTGGGATGTTTCTCTGTTCATATTTTGTTTGTTGCGGTTGCACCCGACTCAAGAGCCGCATGGCTCACAGGGCTATACACCTAATCAATGAAACTTAATAAGTATAACCCGTAAAACAAAGTTTTTCACTATAAATCCTTTATATGCGTGGCGGCTAGAGTCCTCTCGTCCTCTGGCTTGAGATGGCTGCCACCTATGGGTCAGATGATTACATTGCACCATTAAGCAATTGATAATTAAATATAATATTTTTGTCCTAAAAAGTGTAAAATTTTGGAGAAAAAAATTTCACGAACATTAATTGTCACGCACAGCGAGTCTGTGTGCAAAATGTCAGCTCGATTGGATCACGGGAAGTGGGTTAAAAAACGACCGAAAGATTTGCACGGTCCTAAGCAAGCGAGCGAGCGAACTTAATATAAAGGATTTAAAAACTTGAAACTTGAAACTGGTGTAACCGCGCTGCGTCGTCGGCTCGCCTGGGCCCCACAGGCTCCTCGCGCTCGCCTAGGCCACGGAGCCTGAGCGCCGGGGACATCAGATCGGCCGTCGTCGCCGAAGCCGCGCCGCCCATCAACACCAGCTCCATGTTCTCGGCGGTGGTGAACCCCCAGCGCAGGAGTCGCGCGGTCCAGTCGTCAATCCTCGCCCACGCCAGCCTGGACTATACCACCGGCTCCAAGGTAAGGAGGAGTTCATCTTCTTGGTTCTCTCGGTAAAGTCACGTAGAAGGGAAATAATAAAATAATAAAAATAAAACATGATAAAATAATTCTCACGACGTTTTCGGCCACAACGCAAGCGGCCGTCCCTCAGGTGAAGAGCAGGTCTGCCTGGGAGACAGCGTCTGAATGTGTGGTGTTGTTTCATTCAGACGCTGTCTCCCCGACAGACCTGGTCTTCACCTTTACCGAAAGAACCAAGAAGATGAATTCCTGCAGTCACGAAAGCTTTAAATCGAGGAGTGCATGTTCAAGGTCGGACGCGAGTTCGCGTCAATAATTCGTTTTAGCCGTTTGTCTCTGTCGAAGCAATAATTGCTTCCAATTTGAATGTTCTCGACGTGTAATGAGATGAACAACATTTACGCGAGATCGGTGACCACGTTTAAGGGGGGGGCGCACAGAAAACTCAGGGAGGGCACGTGACACAGCCAATGCTGAACAAGATTTAATCAAAGATTACATTTTGAATCTTGATTTAATCTTGATTTTAAGCTTTCGTGACTGCAGGATACATATTCTATGGGTCTTTCGGTAAAGCCACGTAGATAGTTTTTTTTTTAAATAAAAATTTAATAATTTATTATTTTAAATAAAAACTTTTTTTTATTCTATTTACGTGGCTTTACCGAAAGACCCATAGAACATCAACATTGAATCTTTAACACGTAGGCTTTCGCGACCAATATCATCCATAATACAGGTTATTTTTTTCTTCTTGGGTTAGATTGTAAATGTTATGGCTTGGCTCTCCAACACACAACCGGTGTGCTGTACTAGTATACTACACTATACACTACACTATACACTAAAATACATTACACTATACACTACACTAATAACTACACTATACACTACACTATACACTACTATACATTACACTATACACTACTATACACTACACTATACACTACTATACACTACACTATACACTACTATACACTACACTATACACTACACTATACACTACACTACACACTAGTGCTGTACTAGTGACTAATTGCCACGTTCTGTCTACGTGACAAACCCCTTACTAGTTGGCCGTGTCGGGTGGTGGCGGATTTAACGACACGTTCAGATATTTATCCGATCTGACCCCCCCAAAAAAACCTGTATTATAGAATCTTCTATTAAATCAGGATGAGTAACATGACAAATAGCATGACCTCGCAATGCTATCATCTCACAGCGCCGGGAACTCGCTCTGTCACGAACTCCTCAAAGCGTCGTGACGTTAAAGTACCGTGCCCTCTCCATACCACGATCTCACAGCCACCACATGCTCCCACAAAACCGAGATCACAAAGACAAAGATCCCCCGTATAGCCTTAACAGACAGTAGGGGCAAGTGCTGTTAGCGAGCACCTGTAAAGGCCCGGCACGGCACACGAGGGGGTGAGTGGCCAACACCACGCCCGGCCGCCTTTGTCTCCCCAGCGGCGATGTTTACACACCGCACCAGGTACTCATTTGAGGCTGAGTCGACCTAGGGGAGGCCCAGGGCCGGTTCAGATAATCCTCACTGATGTTGGCCGTGAGCGATAATTGAACCCGGGTCGGCAAGTTCGTAGCGCAGCGTAGCGCTAACCGCTGCACCACCGCTCCCCACCCACCCACACACCCACACACCCACCCACACACTCACTCGCCGTGACCTCCCCAACAACAACGTGGGGGGGGCCACGTGCCGTGACCCTCGCTCCCCTTCATCTCGCCGCGATGACCTCGCCGCGCCACGATCCCATGCCGGGCACCTACACACGTGCCCGCGCGTGAGACGTGCGCGTATAAATAATCACGACGACGCTGACGGTGACGCTTTCCTGGCACAACGAAGACGCTGACGCCGACGTTGTCATTGCCGCCGTGCCAGGGAGGCGCGGCCCGCCCGGGCGCCCTCTTCGACCGCCTCGGCGCGTCGGACCGAGCTCGCGCCCGGCAGGAGACGGAGGCCGAGCGAGGCCGCCGGGAGGAGGTGTGGCGACGCTTGGATCACGATCAGCGGCGGCACTCGCGCGCCGAGCAGCGGCAGGTCCTCACCGAGCGGCACAGGCGGTAAGGCGGGCGGGCGGGCGGACCGGCGAGGTGCCAAACACCGGTGTCTTCTTCTAATTCTTCTTCTGTCATGTGCCGGGGTGGTCGGTTGGCAGCGTCGACGTGAGTGGGACCAGTGGGTGGCTGCAGGAGTCGGCCCCGTGGGTCGAACACCCGTAGCGCTGCCTCGCACCCACACACACACACAGACACACACACAGACACACACACACAGACACACACACAGACACACACACACAGACACACACACAGACACACACACACACAGACACACACAGACACACACACACACACACCCAGACACACACGCCGATGGGCAATTCAGCAAGGTGCACGCAGTGGCCAGGCGCGGTCGGTGGCCTCAACGCCGCGGGCCCACGTGGTCGACCCCGCCGTGCTGACCGAACCGCACACCTGCGATTGGCACGTGCGGCTACGTGCGGCGCGAAACCTTCGCCGCTACCGCTGCGCCCCCCTTGCGCGCGCGTTGCCCAGTAAGAGTGGAGCAGCTGGCGAGCACGCAGGCGGTGCAACTGCACCTGAGCCTCCACGGGTCGGATGGGGGACCCAGGCATCAGGCCACAAGGAACTGGGGGCCCCCCTCTTGTGCCAGGGCCCATGCCAACCTGCGCTACGCCACTTGCCGTAGCGTTCAAATGCAGCGAGGGTGGCGCACGGCCTGTGTACGCAGTGCGGCGTGTCACCGGTTAGCTTGCGCCGATGCGATCGGTTCCGCTCGCGGCTGATAGGCTGTTTGATCACCTGGAGAGCCACGCTATTGATAGGTTGCGATGTTAATAACAGGGTGCTGCTGCTGCTGCATTGTGATCTGCAGAGCGTGAATGTTGCTAGGCATGCCATCGTGTCCATGGGAGCAACGTGTGGCTCTCTAGGAGGCTGTCCTCGGAACTTCCAGGCCGCCTCCAACTAGCGCTCATTCCCTGGTCCTATAAATTCATTACCGGCACTGTCACGCACCAGCAACATCACTCACTCACCAACACTGTCACTCACCAACACTGTCACTCACTAGCAATATCACTCACTCACCAGCACTGTCACTCACCAACACTGTCACTCACCAGCACTGTCACGCACTAGCAACATCACTCACTCACCGGCGCTGTCACTCACTAGCAACATCACTCACTCACCAACACTGTCATTCACTAGCAATATCACTCATTCACCGGCACTGTCACTCACCAGCAACATCACTCACTCACCGGCATTCACTCACCAACACTGTCACTCACCAACACTGTCACTCACCAACACTGTCACTCACCAGCAACATCACTCACTCACCAACACTGTCACTCACCAACACTGTCACTCACCAACACTGTCACTCACTCACCAACACTGTCACTCACCAACACTGTCACTCACGCATCGGCACTGTCACTCACCAACACTGTCACTCACCAGCACTGTCACTCACCAACACTGTCACTCACTCACCAACACTGTCACTCACTCACCAACACTGTCACTCACCGGCGCTGTCCCTTCGAGCACCAGACCTGCGACCGCGTGCCGTGGCTGTCGCGTCTCTGCGCTCGTGGCGATTTGTCGCTTTTCCTTGCACATTCTGTGCTGTAGAGGATGCTGCTATTTTTATCATCCCCGATTTACCCTACGCGTGTCCCCGTAGGCGAGCAGTCTTTTGATTGCGAGCACAGCGGCCTGAGATGTTTTTATATGTAAGCATCTAGACGCACCGTGACACATCCAACCCCCCCCCCCCCCCACTGTGACACTACCATCCCCGCTGTGACGCTGCCACCCCCACCGTGACACATCCAACCACCCCCCCCCCCCCCACTGTGACACTACCATCCCCGCTCTGACACTACCACCCCCACAGTGACACATCCAACCCCCCCCCTTCCACTGTGACACTACCATCCCCGCTGTGACACATCCAACCCCCCCCCGCTCTGACACTACCACCCCCACCGTGACACAACCACCACCCCCCCCCGCCCCACTGTGACACTACCATCCCCGCTGTGACGCTGACACCCCCACCGTGACACATCCACCCCCTCCCCCACTGTGACACTACCATCCACAGTGACGCTGCCACCCCCACCGTTGCACTACCATCCACTGTGACACTGGTCACCGCGTCCCGTGTCACTTCGACTTCTGTAGCCCTCTGCCAATGGCCGTGTCCTTGGCTCGATGTCTCTCCCCTCGACCTCTGACCTTGAGGCCTCCCTCCTCGCCCTGGCCTCCACCTTAATATGTAGAGGTCCCCTGAACGTGGGAAATTGTTGGCGCATGCTGTCGCCTTCACGCTTTTCTCCCAGTTCGGTTTCTTGGATACGTATCCCACTGATAAGTATATGCCACTCATCCGGTGAGGGTGAGCGGTTGGGGTGAGCGGGATATCTACCCCCGCTCCCCCGCCGCTCCCCTTCCTCCCTTGGGCATCACGGTGGCTAGGAGATGTTAACTACCTCGCCTGGTGTGCAGGAGGTCGTAGGTTCGATCCCCACCCTGACGCCTGCTGCATTTTGGGAGTTTGCATCTCTCATTATCACCACGGTGGCTAGGAGATGTTAACTACCTCGCCTGGTACACAGGGAGGTCGTGGGTTCGATCACGACCCTGACGCCTGCTGCTGTATATTTGGAGTTTGCGTCTCTCATCATCATCACGGTGGCTAGGAGATGTTAACTACCTCGCCTGGTATACAGGGAGGTCGTGGGTTCGATCACGACCCTGACGCCTGCTGCTGTATATTTGGAGTTTGCGTCTCTCATCATCATCACGGTGGCTAGGGGATGTTAACTACCTCACCTGGCATTCAGGAGGTTGTATGTTTGATCACGACCCTGACGCCTGCTGGAAATTTGGAGTTTGCGACGTCTCTCTCCTAGCGGTCGTGGGGGTTTTTCCCTCCACATTTAGAAACACGCGGTTTAAGGGTATTTGGCCGCTAGGAAATTCCACGTGACGATGAACAAGCCAACTTCGTTGAGCTATCATTTGTGTTGGCCAGGTCGATTTCCGTAGCTCAGCGGGGCCTTACCTGGTAACATTGAAAAGCGTCGTTTGTTTATTTGTTCAGATTTGCAACAGAACTTGAAATCTGCGCCGTGCTCGGCCACGTTCAACAAGCCTGGGGCGTTCCATTCAGACTCTGTCTTCTCGACAGACCTGTTCTCCACCTGAGGACGGCCGCTTGCGTTGTGGCCGAAACGTCGTGAGACTTATTTTATCATGTTTGATTTTTGTTATTTTTTTTTTCCATTCTACGTGACTTTACCGAAAGAACCAAGAAGATAAACCTGGAAGCCGCCCAGAGTAGAGTCGCGCCAACTCAGCAGGCGGCAGGCAGTGCCCGCGAGGGAGTTGAGCTTCCAGCTTCTCCCGGCGCTTCCAAGTCTCTCTCCCGACCCCTCCGTCCGTCCGTCCGTCTCTCTTTCAAGCAACGACACCGCCACATCACAAGCTGTCGCCGTCACCGCGATTCACATTTCTCACCCCCCCCCCAACGACAGAGACCGCACCCTGGAGCGCCTGTCGGGGGAGGCCGCGCGGCTGGTCGACCGCGAGCGCCAGGAGGCCAACTCATCGGCCGCGCGACGCACGGCGCTCTCCCGCGCCGAGGAGCTGGCGCGCTCGCACGCGAGGGACGCGCGCGAGGGCGAGCGGGCCCGGCTGCGCGCGGCCGCCGAGCGGCAGCGGGCCCACGACGGGCAGCGGGCCGCCGCCACCGAAGCGGCCGAGAGGAAGGAGGGCCGTCGGCAGGCGAGTTTATCTTCTAGGTTCTTTCGATAAAGTCGCGTAGAAGGAAAATAATATAAAAATAAAACATGATAAAATAATTCTCACGACGTTTCGGCCACAACGCAAGCAGCCGTCTGCAGGTGGAGAACAGGTCTGTCGAGAAGGCAGAGTCTGAATGGCACGCCCCAGGCTTGGAGCGACTATTTATGCTGGGATGGAGGGGTGAAGAGCGAGTTTATGCCGCCGCGGCGTTCGGCGTCGACTGGGTGGGCGGCGGGAGGGGGCCATCGGCGCGCCGTGTCTTTCCCGGGGCCGCTCGACCGCCACGTTGCGCTTGCGAACCTCCGCCCGCCCTGAGTTCGATTCCCGCTCGCGGGCCAACGCCGTTGAAGAATATCTGAACCGATTCCCCGGGGGCCTCCCGTAATGTCGACTCGGCTTCTAACGAGTGCACTGGTGCGGTGTGTAGTAAACATCGCCACCGGGGAGACGGAGGCGGCCGGGCGTGGTGCTGGCCACCCACACCCCCTCGTGTGCCACAGTGCCGGCCTTCATAGGTGCTCGCTAACAGCACTTGCCCCTACAGTCTGTTAAGGCTACACGGGAGATCTTTGTCTTTGTCCGCGTGCGTGCACGCAGGAGGCGCAGCAGCAGCGCGTGCAGGAGCACAACCGGCGCATCGCCGAGTCTCTGCGCGCGTCCGACGAACGCCTCCTCCGCCGGGACACGGCGCGGCGAGTCCAGATCTCTGCCCGCGACGGACGCTCGCCTCCCGCCTCCGTGTAGCCCGGCTCTCCATCCACTCCCCCCCTCCTGACCCCGAGTGACCCAGATCTCCTCCTGCTCCCCTCCCGAGTGACCCAGATCTCCTCCCGCTCCCTCCCCTTCCACCTCCGTGTAGCCCAGCTCGCACACACACACACACGTACATCCGTGTGCGTGTACGTGTGTGTGTGTGTGTGTCGCCGGTGTGCCCGTCGGTTGGGGACCTGTGGGATTACAGCTGGGGTTGTAGTCCCGCCCCCCGCCCCCCCCCCCCCCGCCCCCCCTGCACCCCCCCCCACCCGTGGCTTTAACCTGGGGGTTGCCACCTGTCCTGGTTTTTCCAGGGATGGAAGCGGCCGTCTCGGGAAATCTCTCAGCGGAGCTCTTCCCGGGCAACATTGAAAGTCCCGGTGTTTCGTCGGTGGGGTAATAACGTACGCGTGTTGAACTTTTTTCGCGCCGTACGTAACCAAGGGCGCTTAATCGGAGGTGCCGGAGGAAGGTCAACGAACTAAACAATGTTTGTTGAACTTCTTTCGCGCCGTACGTAGCCAACGGCGCTGATCGGAGGTGCCGGGGGAACGATGATAAACGAAATGCAAAAAGGGAGTTGACAAAAATAATGAGTTTTCAATTTACTAAATAATACTCGCTTACGATTAGTCATGGCTCGGTGTGGGGGAAGGATCAGTCCATGAGGTATTTGAGTCATTTGAGGCTTTCACGAAGGCGCTGTGATTCATGGCCATGGTCTGCAGTTGTTTTTTACGGAAGGAAGGGGGCAATGATTGCAACGTTTTTACTTCCAAATTGAGGAATTTGCTAATTACTTTCTCAGACGTGGATCACGGCACGCAATGGCCTCCTCCCATGTGGAATAAACGTCACGGCATCATGGCAGGAATACGTATTCGCTCGTCAATTTTTTCTATTTTACCAGGCAAGGCCCCAATGAGCTATGCAGCTTCTTTTTTTAGAAGTGACCCGGCCGCAAATGAAAGCTCAACGGAGTGGCTTATCGCGTGGAAATTCATAGCAGCGGCCTTATACCCCGAAACGCGTGGGTTGCCCATTCTAAACGCAGAGGGGCAAACCGGAGTGGCCCGGAGAAAAAGCCACGTGACCGCTGGGCTCGCGATCAAACCCGCGACCTCCTGCATAGCAGGCGAGGGAGATGACATCTCGCCTTGGCTGCACCGTGAGACATTCCTGGTTTCCTTGCGGCCCGAGAGGTGTCAATCCTACTCCAGCCCCACGTGGCCTTGCACCGGGATCGTCGCGCGTCCGTGACTTGCGGCGGGTACCGCGGCCCGGATTCCCCGCGCCGCGTGGCGACAATTTAAGTCGCACAAAGTCGGGCCTATGCGAGGGCCCGGGTTGGCCTACGTACGGCTCGTGGGCCAACACTGGCCCGCGTCTTCATTTCACGAGGCCCACGGCCATCATGGGCGCGTCGCATTGGCGCGCGGCAAACGGCGAGGAGCCCCCGTTATTTCTCGCGTGAAAATTGGATGATAATAATGGTGGTGGTGGTGGTGATGATGATGTGTTTTTTCTTGACTGCGTGTAATATTTCACGGGTGTAAGAGGCCCGGCGGCCCCCACACCAACTCGCCATCTTCTCTCTGTCGCCTGGCTCATAAAGGCTCATAAAGCCAGGCGACAGAGGAGATGGGGGCCTGAAATACGCGTCTTAAAAGTCGGTGTGGGTTTAACGCCGCCACTGCCGCTGCCGCGAATGTGCAGCGGTAGTGGGGGTCAAAGGGCGTCCGTTAACGCGTGGCCTGTGAAAGATACTTGAAAAATCGAATTACTGCCCCTCGGCAAGACAAGAAGGTGTCCCCAGCAGCCTACCGCTTAACTTGGTAGTGCTGGTGTCAATGTTGCATTGAAAGGCAGAGAAAAAAACTCCTTTAAAAAAGTTATTTGTAAAAACAACGGTTTTAATCACAACTGGCGCACCTGAGACACGTGGCGCCTGGTTCTTGGGCGAGGCGATTGGAGAGTTTTGGGCCCGCAGCGTTTTTGACCTACACACAAATATATATATATAAATAATAAGGCGTTCATACAAAATGTAAATTGCTTTAAAGTAGCAAATTAATTGATTAATCTTATTGGTTCTTTCGGCAAAGTCACGTAGAAGGGAAATAATAAAATAATAAAAGTTAAATTATGCAAAATAATTCTCACGACGTTTCGGCCACAACACAAGCAGCCGTTCTCAGGTGAAGAACAGAGCTGTCTGAAAAAAACAGCATCGTAATGAACACCGCTAAGCTTAGCAGCGTATATTTAAGCTGGGTGGGAGGAGCAGAGTGCCTTGACAAAGGAGTTTACATATCAACAGAGGAATTTAGCATTTTGACACTAAAGAACTGCAACTACCCTACTTCCATACAATAAACCGATGTGAAAAAACTAAATATAAAATACATTAATATAATAATTGTTTTTTTACCCTTCTATCTGGCAACAAAACTGACACCTTTTTTACAAGGAGTCATGTTTACATAGACCACAATACCTGCAGTCATAATGCAAACAAAAAACATAACTCTGATGATGTATGCACTGTCCTTGAAGTTGATTGGTCCACACCCGAGACAGCTTTCCTTAGAGCCTAGTCTCAATAGAATCAATATAATTGATTAATTGATGCCGATTTTGATACAGGCACGCATTGTCGCCGGATCTGAGTACGTGTGCATAATTTTGAATTGATTTGGACAACAGGAAGTAGACGAAACTTTGATTACTAGATTTGACCACGACACAGGCATCAAGTTCAGTAAAACCGTTGAAAAAGGTGGTGATGACGACGATGGTGACGACGATGAGTTGGATGACTTATATACCTTAAGGACGCTGTAACAGACGACAAGAGAGAGAGAGGGGTGATCAAGGGTGCATCGCTATCGTCGTCTCTGGCAAGACTCTGGTGTCGGGAACGAGTCCAGAGTCCAGTGTTGACTCGAGCCTGCAGCGCCAGCAACGCAGAAAGCAAAACCTGGGGCGCCACACGGGCGAGATGTTGACTACCTCGCCTGGTACACAGGAGGTCGTGGGTTCGATCCCAACCCTGATGCCTGTTGTGTATTTGTAGTTTGCGTCTCGTCAACACGGTGGCAAGGAGATGTTGACTACCTCGCCTGGTACACAGGAGGTCGTGGGTTCGATCCCAACCCTGATGCCTGCTGCTGTATATTTGGAGTTTGCGTCTCTCATCATCATCACGATGGCTAGGAGACGTTAACTACCTCGCCTGGTACGCAGGAGGTCGTGGGTTCGATCCCAACCCTGACGCCTGTTGTTTATTTGGAGTCTGCGTCTCTCATCATCATCACGGTGGCTAGGTGTTAACTACCTCGCCTGGTCTACAGGAGGTCGTGGGTTCGATCCCAACCGTAACGCCTGTTGTGTATATGGAGTTTGTGTCTCTCATCATCATCACGGTGGCTAGGAGATGTTAACTACCTCGCCTGGTATACAGGAGGTCGTGGGTTCGATCCCAACCCTGACGCCTGCTGCTGTATATTTGGAGTTTGCGTCTCTCATCATCATCACGGTGGCTAGGAGATGTTAACTACCTCGCCTGGTACACAGGAGGTCGTGGGTTCGATCCCAACCCTGATGCCTGTTGTGTATTTGTAGTCTGCGTCTCGTCATCACGGTGGCTAGGAGATGTTAACTACCTCGCCTGGTACGCAGAAGGTCGTGGGTTCGATCCCAACCCTGATGCTTGTTGTGTATTTGTAGTTTGCGTCTCGTCATCATGGTGGCTAGGAGACGTTAACTTCCTCGGCTGGTATGCAGAAGGACATGAGTTCGATCCCGACCCCTGCTGCTGTATATTTGGAGTTTGCATGATTTTTCTCCCCGTGGTTGCGTTGATTTTTTTTCTCCGGGCCATCCGGTTCTTCCCCGCCGCATTCAGAAACACGCGTTGAACAGTATTTGGCCGCTCTAGGTTTCCACGTGATGACGATAAGCCACTTCGTCGAGCCAGGTCACTTCTGCAACACAAAAAAAGAGTTTTATTTTTCTTCTTGGTTCTTTCGGTAAAGTCACGTAGAAGGGAAGTAATAAAATAAAATAAAAATAAATTTAAAAAAAACATAATAACATAATTTTATTATGTTTTATTTTTTATTATTTTATTACTTCCCTTCTACGTGACTTTACCGAAAAAACCGAGAATATGAATCCTTGCAGTCACGAAAGCTTTAAATCGAAGTTTGTTTTTTATTTATAGCTTTCGTGGCTGCAGAGATTCATATTCTTGGTTCTTTCGGTAAAGTCACGTAGAAGGGAAATAACATTGTTTTATATTTATATTATTTTATTATTTCCCTCCTACGTCACTTTACCGAAAGAACCAAAGAATACAACAAAAAGAGCTTCACAGAGCTCGGTAAACCCTCGCCCGGTAGCGTAAAAAAAAGAAAAATCGTTTCGCTTATTTGGCACAACTTCTCGTGCCCCGTGGCCAGATTCACCGAGCGCGTCCGATGACACCGATCACATGTTGGCGGCGCGGGGGTCATGAGGAAGAAAGGGGGGCTCCCCCTCCCCCGATCGGCGATAAAACAGAGAAGGCAGGCACGACTGTGGAAACGTGCGTCCAAATTTAGTCGGCTGTTGCAAGCCAGCACAGCGGGGCAGACGATATCTCGCACTTAATCCGCGGCGTGATTTGACGTCAGGCTCCGTATTAATATCTCGTGCATCTGATGCTGACAATTAATATATCTCGTGGCTCCGTGAATCGAATCCTGCCCCCTGCCTCCTGCCCCCACCCCCCACCACACTTTCTTGGCAGAGCAGAGAAGAACCAGTTGAACACGTAGGCTTTCGAGACCAATATTATTCATCTTCTTGGTTCTTTCGGTAAAGTCACATAGAAGGGAAATAATAAAATAATAAAAATAAAACATAATAAAATAATTCTCACGACGTTTCGGCCACAACGCAAGCTGTCTCCCCGACAGACCTGTTCTTCACCTGAGGACGGCTGCTTGCGTTGTGGCCGAAACGTCGTGAGAATTATTTTATTATGTTTTATTTTTATTATTTTATTATTTCCCTTCTACGTGACTTTACCGAAAGAACCAAGAAGATGAATCCCTGCAGTCACGAAAGCTTTAAATCGAAATATTATTCATAATCAACGTTTTTGGGTTAGATCGCGTTATTTATAAATGTGTCGTAACCCTCCACCACCCGACACGGCCAAT